AAACAATGATCAGCCACGGTGCAGGTATTGGTCCTACCGTGTTTCAGATCTGCCTTGTGTTCACGAACACGGTCCGAGACATGTCGTTTAGTTTCCCCAATGTAACTACTACCGCAGCCACAGCAACGTTTGTAGACACCGGGGTATTGCATGCCAGGGATCACATCCTCCACAGATGGGATCAGATCACGAATTTTATGTACTGTGTTGAATCGAATCTGGATCTTGTATTTGTTCATGATTTTGGAAAGGTTGAGGTGACAGCTTTGCGGATTGTGCAGTCCGAATATCCATTCATCTTGAGGGCTTGGTGTACGTGCTCCAGTTCACTGGCTAGGTCAGGGGTCGGCAACCTACGGCTCCGGAGCCGCATGCGGCTCTTTACGGGCTGCTTCTTGACGATATGTACGTATGTATAGTATGTACTCAGATGCATTGCGGCTCTTGAAATACTGAATTTTGTACCGAATTTGAAAGAAATGGCTCTTCTTGTTATTTTGGTTGCCGACCCCTGGGCTAGGTGGTACTGGTCAGAGATGCAACGGCCCTATGGTGTAGGGTTTTGATGACGGAATTCTTCTGGGCTGGATGGTGGTGGGAGTCAGGTTTTAGATAGGCATCCGTGTGGGTGGCCTTTCTGTAGACAGAGTGTCCCAATGAACCTTCTGGTCTCTTTTCGATTAAAACATCCAAGAATGGTAACTTTCCTTCCTTTTCCACTTCCATGGTGAATTTGATGGCTGGGTGTATGGGATTGATGTGGGTGAGAAATTGGTTCATTGCTAGCAGGCCATGTGGCCAGATTACGAACGTGTCATCTACGTATTTCTTCCACAAGGAAGGACGTAGGGTGGATGCCTGGATGGCATCTGTCTCAAACTTTTCCATGAAAAGATTGGCTACCACTGGCGATAATGGAGAACCCATTGGGGTACCTTCATCTTGTTTGTAGAATGTACCATTCCAGGTGAAGTAAGTGTTGGTAAGGCAGTGTCTTACTAGGGTTGGAACATCAGCATTCAGTCCTTGATGGACCAAATCTTCAATGATTGCAATGGTGTCAGGAACAGGAACTTTGGTGAACAGGGAGACCACATCGAAACTAACAAGCAAATCACCTGGAGATAGTGAGATGTCTTTAATTAGAGAAACCAAGTGAGCTGGATTAAGTACAGCTGAGGTGGTCTTGCCAGTGAATGGAAGCAAGGTCTCAGACCGAAATCGGGCCAGTTTGTAGGTGGGTGAGTCAATGGTGGAGACGATAGGACGGAGCGGTGTACCTTCTTTATGAATTTTTGGTAAGCTATACAATCTGGGTGGTCTAGCAGCAGAGGGTTTTAGAGCAAGCCGCTTGGTTGGTTCGATTAAAGATGTCGAATCAGTGATTATATTGTTGATTTTCGTGACCAGGCGGTTGGTAGGATCTCTATTGATTTTGGTATAGCTGCCATTATTAAGTAGGTCCTGAATTTTGTTATTGTATGTGGTTTTATCCATGATGACAGTGGCATTGCCCTTGTCAGCTGAGAGGATGACTATGTTATCTATCTTTTTCAGTTGAGCAAGCTCAAAACGCTCATCCTTGCTGTTGTTGCTAATGGGTTTCTTAGCGTTGAGGGATACATCTACCTGGGCAATGATATCATCAACTAGGATGTGTTTAGGGGTGACTGCGAAATTCAACCCTTTAGCTAGTACCGATTTTAGGCTATCGGAAATTAGGTTGTAACTCTGATTGATAACAATCTTGTTAACATCTAACTTTTTAATGTGTGGATTAGGCGTCTTCTTAGACAGGAGGCTGAATTTAGAAATCAGGTTAACTTTGCATTTGGCTGACATTGAGGCGGCTGACGAGGCTGTCATGTTATCTACATGGTCCCAATCAGATCTAGACCTTTTTGACATGCTAATCTCTCACAATACAATGGCCATCTCTAGCCCCACCCTCTTACCCTGAGGGGACTCCCATCTCAGGCCTATTAATGACCTTGTTTCAGTCGCTTTCTTTCTCTCACCTGAAGACGATTGCCGGTGTTGCGATCAAGACGTCGTGATCTATTATTTTTCTATATACGTGACTTTACCGAAAGACCCAAAGATTATGAATTCCTGCAGTCACGAAAGCTTTAAATCAATTTAACCTGTATTAAGGTGTAAACTGTTTATTCCAGGAGCATGAATGCCACTATAATAACACAATTTAAGCATCCTTACCATCAATTCTCCAGAATGTGAAGGAGCCACATTATGCGCTTTGACAATCAACCGCATTGTTGATAATTTTCAGATGATAATGGGGGTTTTTTCTCCTCTTTATTTACTTTGTAGCCTTAGTATAAATATTAAAAAGGGCGCAGGTATAGTATTTGTACTAATATTGGCAAGTCGGTGCAACTATCCATCTCATTCCTGCACACAAGCAGATTTAATCACTCCATTCTTTGGGTGCATTCCCTCCCTTGGATTCCACTCCGTCATGAGTCTCAACCACCGGCCTTCATCCCTTATTTGTCCTGCCCAAGCCCATGTTTCTTACGGTATCTTTAACATGCTAATTTTCTGCTCTCAGTTTCCATCCAATACTGAGATGTGTTTCCCAGTTGGAGCCCTCTCTGACGGATATCTTCATTTAATTGGCTAACTTGTGCATGATCTCTTAAGTTACTCATATTTGTATCGACCCCCACTCTGCAGGCTTCTTCATCAAGTTATTTTATTCATCAGCGAATGTGATTGCGAATGCTTTACCCATTTAAAGCAGTGTCATGATATCCATAAGCACTTCACTGACTCTGGTGCCAGCCAGCCTCCCACTGCCCTCCCACTCTCCACACCCCCACTCACTTCTTTGCAAGGGTGAGGGTTTTATGGTGGTGGTGTCACCACTCAACAATACCCTATGCCCCACTGTTGACCGGTACAGAAATTCGAGCTGTCCACAAGCTGCTGTGCAGAATGACTCACAGGGTGATTCTTTACACTACTCTGTCAACACATGCATCACAAGGCCCGCTGCATTCGTTATTCTCAAAATATGTTTAACATTTAAACGTATTGGCGGTACATCGGTGCGTAGTATAAAAAGCACATTTTCACAATAATTATTATTTATTTTAGTTATTTTCCCGCGATTCGCAACCCTGGTCAACAAAATATTGCGGTGTGGTGCATAAAATTAGTTATCATAATGTCGAAACAGTCAGAAGACAAATGTCATGAGCAGCTGAAGACAAAGCTTTAGTCTGTTGCTAAAAAGCACCCAGCCTGATGACGATTGGCCCTAGACAGATTTGATTCATGCCCTAAGCTTGGTCAAACGGTTATGGTTAGTCAGTTTAACAAGTAGGCTTTCGCGACCAATATCCATAAGAGGTTTTTTGGGTTAGATCGTGTAAATATAAATGTCGTTAAACCTGTCACCACCCAACGCAGCCAATTAGTAAGGTTAGTAATGATGCTCTTTGTAATTACTGGCGAAACATCATACTCGAATCGTAAATGTTGAGGATTACTCCCCAACACACCGGTATGCTGAACTAGTAACTAATTGGCATGTTTTGTTTACGTGGCAACATTACTAATTGGCTGTCAGGTGGTAGTAGGTTTAACGACATTTATATTTACACGATCTAACCCCAAAAAAATAAACCTCTATTAATTATCGTTCGGGTTAAGTTCGGGTGAGAGAAATACGAGCACTGACATTTCATAAACAATTCTGCAGTATGTTGGAAAACGTTGTCCTTAAATAGCATTTGGTTGTTCACGAGTATTGTAGTTTGACCTCATTTATTTTTGCCATTACAATAACCCTAAACCAATCCTAACGATCACAGCACTCTGCTTGCTATCCTATCCATCGGCGGTGCAAGATGATGACGAAGATGATGATGATGCTGCAGTCCTACCTAAGGATCGTAAGGCAACGCAAGAAAGCCGCTGCTGCTGTTGTTGTTCCAGTCGCTCGCGCTCCTTGTCGGCCCAAAAAATCGCGTAACCTGGACCCAAATCAACGGTCATTGTTGACCATTTTTTTTGCAAGTGTTATTAGACTGAATAAATTTTCGAATCGTGTGAAACTTGGCGATAGGGTCAATTAACGACTGAGAAACAGAGTTTCAGAGACACACAGAGAGAGACACACAACATAGACACACAGAGACCCAATGCCTCTGTGTCGTGGCCTTAAATAGAGAGGGGGTGCAGAGAGAGAGGTAGGTCTGCTGGAGCAGAGAAATTATCATGTCAATGAAAGAGCTGTGTGGAAATCCACCCCGCGGCAGCAGGGGGAGAGAAAGACCCAGCAAGTCTGGTAAATTGTAGAGAGAGTTATGTGGAAATCCACCCCGAAACGGCCAGGGGAGAGAAAGAGCGAAACTTTATCAGGCTTGCTGGGTTTTTCTCTCCCTCTGCCGCCGTGGGGTGGATTTCCACACAGCTCTAATTTAGCAATCTTTGGAGAATATAATCAACCAGGTTATGCGTTAACTGTGTGTTAGCCCACTCTCTGTGTTGCATTGCATTACATTTCCAAACATTTGCTACGTTTGTTTTCTAAAACTGCCTATTTCTCTCTCTAAAATTTACTAGGCTCTCATAGGTCCATTCGCTCTTTCTCTCTCCCCCGGCCGCTTTGAGGTGGATTTCCACACAACTCTCTCTAAAATTTACCAGACTTGCTGGGTTTTTCTCTCCCCCTGCCGCCGCAGGGTGTATTTCCACACAGCTCTTTCATTGACATGCTAATTTCTCTGCTCCAGCAGACCCACCTCCCCCCCTTCTCTCTCTATTTAAGGCCACGACACAGAGGCATTGGGTCTCTGTGTGTCTATGTTTGGGGATGGGCATATCAACAGCACCAGGAGCATGAGCGGTGCACGAGTGCCAATGCAGCAACAATACCAATGCAGCAACAATGGCAATGTAGCAGCAATGCCAATGCAGCAATAATGCCAATGCAGTGGGCGAGAGAGCTGCCGTCGCAAGAGGTTATATAGGTAAGAAAGGGGGGAGGAGCAAGGGGGGAGAGAGAGAGGGGGGAGGGGGTAGGGGATGGGGGGGGGGGGCTGCGCGAGCGCTCGGGGGAGAGAGGACGTGAAGCTGGGGGGGGGGGGAGTGGACGGGGCTGAAAATGGGAGACTGGGAAGGCTGGGGATGCGGGGGGGGAATTAACTCGTAAAAATAGACTAGTACCCGGCAGACATAATGGAACAACCATAAACAGTTAAGATTTTACCTGGTTAATAACATCTTTCCAATGATTGCTACATTTGTATCCATCTTCTTGGTTGAAGTTATGTCTATGTTTATATATCTGGATGGCTTCATGAACAAACCTTTGATAGTACCCCGAAGGTTTGCAGAGTAGCTTGGTCTCAGAAAACACAATATCATGCGAGCCCACAGCGTTATAACAATGGTCAGTTACGGCAGAGGTATTGGTTCTGCCGTATTTCAGATCTGCCTTGTGTGCACGAACACGGTCCGAGACATGTCGTTTCGTTTCCCTAATGTAACTGGTACCGCAGGTACAACTCAGTTTGTAAACTCCAGGATATTGCATGTCAGGAATTACATCCTTCACAGATGGGATTAGATCACGGATTTTGTGTACTGTATTGAATCGGACTTGGATCTTGTGTTTGTTTAAGATTTTGGAAATATTTTTGGTAACACCTGCTATGTATGCAGAGGCGTAGCTAGGATATTTTGCGCCCGGGGACGAATTATAAAATTGGCGCCCCCCCCCCCCCCCCGTTTAATCACATTTTCCTATTACATCGAATAAGGAATAACAATTTAAATTGTAATGAAATATTGTATTTAAAGAAGCAAATTTATAGAAATTATATTACATGGCTCACTCAGTCACTGTCGTAGACTGGTTGACATAGTCTACAAAAGAAACATTTTTCTTGATTTCACTGTCGCAAACTGGTCAATCACGTAATCAAAATCTGTTTTTTCCAATGTTTCTCTTTCAACGCTAAGAAGAGCAAGATCACTGAGACGATCTCGTCCCATTGAAGCACGCAAATACGACAAAATAAGTTTCAATTTGCTGAACCACCGCTCACAGCTTGCAATTGAAACTGCTATTGTTAATAAAATTTGCAGTGAAATTCGCAAATTCGGAAATATGTCGCCTCCATAAAACACAATAAAAACCAAGAAGATCCAAAGGAGTTTCTGGTAGAACTTCATTCTGGTTACTGAGCAGCATTTTGCAATCTCCAATTTCTGTGAAAAATTCGTGGCCATTGATGTCGGTGTCATAGAAATTTCCAAAATCTGTGCAATTTCGACGAATTGTATCGACATCTGTGTCGGATAGAAGAGTTTTGACGTCCAGCAGAAATCCAAATTTTATGTTCAGGTCTTTTAGTCGTAAAAACCGTGTTGACATCTCCTGTTGAAGTCGATAAAATACACTTCATAACGCGCACAATTTCTTCTTCTGCTGAAAGTCCTGCATCTCTTGCCAGTTCTCCTGGCATCTTCCGACGTCGCCTAATTCTTCTGTCCATATCGATCCCCCTGCTGTTAATCTTGTTTTGGCGTTTTCTACAGCAACTTGGCTCAAATCATCATGAAGCTTGACAAATTAATGCTCCAAAGATTTAAGATCAGTTGCTGCTTCCTTGAAATTCATAGTATGATCCTGTAAGCTATTCTGAACACGATCAATTTTTCCAAGAATGACATTACAGAAATGTAATAAAACTATGAAGTTAAAATTTAATACGCATGCTTGTGTAGTGAGTTACACCTGTAACTGTTCTGCATCACTTCTGGTTTCAGGCGTCATAGTTACGTCCTCCGATAATTTGTCTAGCAGCCCTACTAGTTCATCCAGTCCTTCATAGATAGCTTTACCAGCTTCTGATCGTGCACTCCAGCGTGTTTCAGATTCCCGCTTTACTGTGATGGGCACAGCTTTTTTTAACTCTTCCCAACGAATTGTTGAACGAGAGAAAAACAAATATATACTTTCAAATGTTCCAAAAAATGTGACGACAAGTGGTTCCTGTTTAGCTGAGTGTACTCCTGCTAAGTTTAAGCTGTGGTTGTCACAGTTGACAAACAATGCTCTGTGATTTTTGTCACATATTCGTTGTTGAAGGCCGGATATATGCCCAGTCATCACAGCAGCATTGTCATAACATTGTGCCCGACAGTCGGATAGAGGTATGTTGTCAGATTTCAGTCTCTCGACGATGACTCTTTCTAGGCTTGCTGCATCTTTTGCATGTATCTCGATATAACCTAAAAATTATTCTTTGATAGTTACTTTTTTAGTTTGAAAATCCACAAATCTTACGACCTGAGAAAGCTGTTCCCGATGTCCTAGATCAGGAGTTGAGTCAAGTAAGATACCGTAGTACTTGTTTTTCCCGATATCACTCAACAATTCGTTCTTTACAGTCGACGCAAGTATGTGGATAAATTCATTCTGGATTTCCGGTGACAAATAAGAAACTGATCCCGGAGTTTCTCCTGCGTGCTGTACGTGTTTTGCTAACAATGGGTCACACTGAGCAACGAGTTTGATCAGCGCGAGAAAGTTTCCAACATTTTTATCCTCATCCGTATTCAAATTTTCCACGTACCAAAATGTAATTACATGACATGTAGGCTGTGTGTGGCGGGATATATGAACTTTTAGGTTGAGGTGTAGATTTTTGCAGTAGTTTCAGGCTGCCGCGCCCGCCGCAATAAGTTATAATGTAAAGTTGTAATCCTCATTTTGGCGCCCCTTTACCTTGGCGCCCGGGGACATATGTACCCCCCTGCCCCCCCCTAGCTACGCCTCTGTATGTATGGTAACGTGATGGTTTTGATCAGCTTCTCCGGGGGTTGTTTCTCCGTGGTTGGAGAAAAAGCTTTGCGAATAAAACAATTTTGTTCCTGGTGCTGTTGATACACTTGGGCTACGCCCATCCCCAAACCTTTATAAACAGTTTGTCTTTAGAGGCTAACTCCTTTGCCTGATGACGACCGCTTGTATTGCGATCGAAACGTCGTGATTTGTTTTATTTTATTTATAATTACGTGACTTTACCGAAAGAACCAAAGAGTATGGATTCTTGCAGTCACGAAAGCTTCAACTCAAGACTTAAAATCACAGTTGTTTTGTTGTGATTTCTATATTGCCCATTGCTGAACTTAATTTTATTTGTTTTGCTTTTGTTATTTTGGAGATGCAGGTCACTTTTCCAAATAAGACTCCGTCGGTCTTGGAGTTCTCACCTGGCAATACAAAATAACCTGAAATCCCTTGGTACTCTTTGGATTCGTCTACAACTCATTTACAATGTCTATTCTCCACATGTAAAACGACCGAATGACAACAAAAGTGGGTCTCACCAACCTTGAACAGAACAATTGAGAATGTCTAAACTGCAGGGAGATTTGTCGTCATCATCAGTCCCCACTGTCGCGAAAAAAATATTTCTGTACCCCAACCGTCGCAGTTGCAGATTCATGTATGTGTATACTATGGCGGGTCCCTGCTTGTGGTCGTAAGAATTGAGATGTCCTATTTCCATACGTAAAAACCGTTACACAGACCTCTGTAAAGGTCTTTCCATGCAGCAACGTGCAAATTAAACCAAGGCATAGCACAATACATCACGAACATAACAAAGGTTAAATGACACAATTCCGAGCTGCCCATGAAAAGACACTTCGTAAAAAACAATATAAGGCTTTGAATGCGTCAGCGAGGGTGAGCAAGTTGGAGTAGTTACATATGTAAATATTTTTTAATCTTTGTACCAATAGCAGCAAATGTGTCCAAAATGAAATTGAACTACAGTATATATGCTTTCATTTTCTGCCATGGTGTTAATGGTCAGCACACTGGACATGCAATACAGAGGTCGCCTCGTTTGATTCAATCTCCCGGTGTGGCAATCAAAACAGTGGGGCAAGTTTCATAAAATTCCCCCAACCCTGTACACCTAGCAATATAAATGTGTAATGCCACAGTTGACCGGCAGGTCGCGTCCGTGGTGGGGAAAACTGTGGGTACTCCGAATATCTTTCAAAACATCTGGCCAGCCTGGAAGGATCGTTCAAATTCCCTCCTGCTCGCTGTCGCGAAGGCCCTTCTGCCAGAAGTGGCTTGAGCAAGAAATCACAGGGCTGCGCCTTTGGCTTTTACCTAACTCTTAGGCTATTATTTAATTATCCGTGAAGTTAAACTATGCAGTGGAAAATATTACTGGGACAACACAATTGCCCATATATATACCACATGAATTCTAACGAAAAACTGCAATGCTTTGTGGTTGTATAAAACATCCTATGGCATCACATTTGTTTAAAATGTTTAAAACATGCCATGAAATGTCGCTTACATGAGCCTGGTAATAAAAATGCATGACCCAGCGAATATGTAAAGTACATACAGTTCTTTAGAAGTTCATACAGTGCAACGCCACGTATCCGACTCACTGGGAACTAGGGTTGTATGATTAATCGATTTCAAATCGAAATTTGAAACAATGCGATTAGCAAATCGCAAAGTCTGCTATTTTTTGCCATTTGAAAAGTCCTATTACTTTATTATTGGAATGATTTTTTTTTATAACTGTATTTATTTAACTTAACAATTGTTCTATGTTTGATTGTTATATTTCAATGAAAATATTTTAATACATACATGTTGGAAGCAATTCATATATTTTAATTTCTCATCCTTGCATTAGAATTATATAGAGCAGTTCATATGTTGATGGTAACATGTGGTAATGCTCCATCACATTTAAAATCTATTACACAATGAATATTGAACTGAAGCTTGACTTAAAAAAAATAATCTCAAATCAAATCGCAATATCTGTAAGAAAAATCGTAATGAGATATTTTCCCCAAATCGTTCAGCCCTACAGGCGACTATGAGAAAAGGTCGGATGTGCGAATATTTCTTAAAATTATAGTTGAAGGATGCAGGATGCAGCACGAGATGTGGCGATTATTTGATCAATTGATAGTCGGATATGCGACACGGTACTGTAGTTTTAATGAAAACATTTGTTTTCATCTGATATCAAATAAACAAAATTGATATGCCTTCAATGTTTACAAGCATTCACTTTGGCTGATGCCTCTGCCGCCGCTTCTGCTGCGACAAAACAATGGGGACGTGGATCGTGGCGGCACTTGGAGTCATTTCTTCAGCATCACCTTGAAGGTGACCCAGTAAAGGATATTGAAGACCAAGAAGGAGAGTGGGAAGAAGAGACGAGAAAATGTATCTATTTGCTGAGCACGGGCAATGAACTTTTTCCGCGCACTGGCCTCTATTTCCTGGAGAGATGGCGGGTGGAGAGAGCACAGGCAGACGAGCATCCATTCAAAACATTGTTCGTGGGAATAAGCCATTTTATATTCGAATGTGTTAAATGCATTGTGAGTCTACCATTGCAATAACATGTCGACAATGCAGTATACATGTAAAAGGTCTTCAATGGCAAATCTTGACAGGAACCCCAGCATGATTGCACGCCGAGATGACACGACGTAAGGTTTATTGTGCACAAGCTAGTGGCGGCCACCAGCTCGAAAGAGCTGATATTGTGGCATTTTAAAAAAAAAACATCTAGGCAGCAGAAGAATAGCAAGTCGACAGCAATGTTTAGTAATTTCGTAATTGTTGAGACTCATCATGAGAGTATATCCAACATTGCCTTCTAACGTCATTTGCGCCTCCAGTGAAGAGAGACCTCCTCTACACTGTAGGGACGGACGAGTTCAGCCTAAAACCAAAATTCAACCGCAACGTCCAGCTGAAGAAGTGTAACGACTAACTTCCAGTCATCGAATCTGGTTAATTTGTGTTGGCACTATAGAAATGGGCACCCCTCAATTATGTATTTTTGTAAGAAATAGTGTACAGAATTCCTTCATTATTCAAGAATTTGCTATCCGAGATGTTGGCAATCTGCGAATCGCATCTGGAACTCTACACGACTGCATCGAGAGAGAGAGAGAGAGAAAGTAATGTGGTAACGTCATGAGAGAGAATATGATGCGAGAAAGTGATGAGATAAAGTAATGAAAGAGAAAGTGATGAGATAGATTGATGACTTCTCAAAGCTTTAGAAGCATCTGCAGATATTGCACACACGCGATAGGCAAATATTATCCACGAAATGTGCTATTTACACACAATTCCCATAACGTATCTCCTGCATAGTATGTTTTTAATTACACGTGTAAGTACCACGGGTGGTCAATTTGGATTCCAGCGAGTAGGTGGCTGGTCCGCTGTACAGTCCCCATCGTCGTCGTCGCTGTATAGTCAGCCAGCTATATAGTGAGACGCCGGCGATGTAGCTGTATGAGTGGGTAAGCTATACGTAGCCCAGTGTATATGTTACTCAGTGACTCTGCCTGTAAAGTGTAAGAAATAAAGAAGGAGCCCTCTACAAGTCGTGTCTCGGAAGTTGCTCACTACATTTGGAGTCAGAAGTGGTTATCCCCTGCTATAGCAAATTTGTACATGGAACATTTTGAAACAAGAGCACTTGCCTCGAGCACATTAAAACCATCCTTTTGGTTTAGATATGTGGATGACACTTTGGTTGTCTGGCCACATGGTAAAGATACACTTAACGATTTTCAAAATCATCTCATTGCACAAAACCCAGCCATCCAGTTCACCATGGAAATGGAGGTGAATATCACACTCCCGTTCCTGGATATTTTACTTGGACATGGCCTAAATGGTAAAATAACTCACAGCGTTTACAGAAAGCAAATGCACACTGATGCCTATCTGAATGCAGATTCGCATCATCACCCAGCTCAGAAATCCTCTCTTATCAAGACGCTCATACATCAGGCTAAAATAGTGTCAGATGGTGAAAGTCTAGTGAGAGAGATTAAACATGTTAAAGAAGCACTAAGACAGAATGGCTACAATAATGCTCAAATTAATAGAGCACTAAATGCCAAATCATGATCGCAAAGAAACACTGCTGAAAGTGATCAGATTGTTAAAACAATTAAATACCATATATATATCTCAGGAGTAACTGACAAATTAGCCCGTGTTTTGCAAAAGCAAAACATTACAGTAAGATTTGGTACAGTACACAAAATTCAAAAACTAGTAACTTGCACTAAAGACCAATTACCTAAATTATCAACAGAAGGTGTATATCGGATTAATTGTTTATGTGGCAGATGCTATATTGGACAGACGGGGCGTAACATTAGTGTAAGACTAAAAGAACACCAAAGAAATATTAAACTATCTCAAACACAACTGTCGGCAGTGGCAGAACATGCTTGCCAACAGGGACACTCAATTGATTTTGATAACGTTGAAGTGTTGTGTAAAAGATTTACAACTGGCAAAGACTAATTAGAGAATCCATTGAAATTGAGAGAAACAGAAATAACTTTAACAGCTCGGACAGCTACAGGCTTAGTGCGGCCTGGAAGCGTATTATTAAATAATACATATTACAATTCCTTATAGGGGAAACAAATACTAATTAACTGATTACTAACGTAGCATATAATTACAATAACACACATTACAACTGATTACTAATCTATAACTCACATCGTACAATTGCCTGATTACTAATCTAGTATATAATTACAATAACCCCCCCTCCGCCTCAAATCGTTGCACCTGATGAGTTAAATGATGACGTCACCCTGCTTCTGCTCTATTTAAGACCGGGAGCAAGAGCAGAGCCTGACCATTCTGGCGAATTGCCGGATGATGCTGGATGCAATTACCAGCGAAACGTCATACTCAAAAACTGTAAATGTTGTGGTTTCACGCTTCAACACACCGGTGGGCTAAAGCAGTGAACTATTTGTCTTTTGTCAACGTGACACTTTTTTGCTGATTGACCGTGTCGGGTGGTGGAGGGTTACGACACATTTATAAATAACGCGATCTAAACCCAAAAACGTTGATTATGGACTACATAGTGACAGAACAGTGAATGCTGGCCCATGTCCTTGACACCAGGACCTACTGTGCAGCTGATCTGCCCACTGACCATTGACTTGTCATCTGTAAGATGCGCCTGCCATTCTTCCACTCCGTTGGTGGGTGTACACCCAGGACCCTATTCACAACCATAGTGGCCTGGTCTCAGATAGCTGATGAAAGTTGCAAGCAACAATTTCATCATCGCTTGCGGCTGGGGTTGGCATGGTCCCCCACTCCTCCTGATGTCGAGGGGAAATGGGCGAGGTTTAGGACTGTGGCTCATGCAGCTGCAATGTCTGTGTTGGATGCACGATTCGGACCTCCCTAGAGATCCTGTTTGACAGAAGAGGTGTTCAGGCTGGCTGAGAAAAAGCAAAAGGCCCACTCTCATCGTCTACAACATCCCAAGTCAGAGAATGAGGAGGCTTACCGCAGCCTTTGCTCAGAGGTTCGGAGAGCCGTGAGGCACTGCAACGTTGATTATGAATAATATTGGTCGCGAAAGCCTACGTGTTAAACCAAAGAGGAAAAAGTCGAAATATCAGAAGAAACGGAACCCACCTATAGTGTCTTCCGACGAGGACAAGGATGATATGCGGAGCCCCCCAGCAGCTCACAGAACCATAGTCCTGGTTACAGACCCCGCGGCCGCAGGACTGATTGCGCCAGAGGCGGAGGAGACGGAGGCCATTTTCCAGCAGCCGCAGTCCAAAGATGGATGGCGGATGGTGTCGGCACAAACTCGAGCTGCTGCGGGCAACGGTCACGCAGCTTGTTACACTCATGAGCGTGACTGCAACGACGGGTCTGGCCGCACGAACCTCGCCGGAGAGAGCAGAGCAAGCACCGGCGACCAACGTCCAGGCAGAGAAGACCACGTGTTACGCAAAACGTGGGAGAATCGCGGCCAGGGGCCACCATTTTGTGACGTGAACGGGAATCACCAGAGGCGGCGTCGTCTCCAGCAACACATGGGAGAGGAGCCGATCGGCCTCGTCGGTTGCCTCAGGTACAGGAATTTGTCGCAACGGCTGGCGACTGGAGCGCTTTCACCCGGCACTTCAAAGTTTCGGTCAATGGACTGGACCGAGGAGGAAGCCTTGGGAGCTCTGCTGATGGCGCAAGATGACGACGCCCTTGCGGAATTCCAGGCCAATCCTGCCGAAAAAAGGCCACCTTTAAAAGTGCGTATAGCGAGATGGTGGCCGTGTACGATCTGCCTTCTAACACGTGCAATCAATTCCTGCAGCAGAGGCGAGGGGAGGCCGACACGCCTCTTGCCTACCGCAGCGCGCTGTTGGCATTGGGAGATGCGGCATACCCGGCGGTGGACCCGAAGGCCCTCGACTCTCTCGTTATGGAAAGGATGTTGGGGCTAGCACAGGAGATGGGGATTGTCCTGCCAGTAATCGACAAAGATGCGCAGATGTCTCGTTGGGCCACCAGATGCTTGCCGGCCCATGAGAGCCTGCACCAGTGGTCCCAGATAGTGGTGTGGACGGGGGAACCCGGATGAGAAGACGACCTGGCTGACTGGTCGCCGTGGGGCATTGGGGTACAGCCTGCCATGGACCCGCCGCCGGACAGGGAGGTCGCGGCCGCGGTTCTAGCATGGAGTCGGAGTCGTGGGGAGGCCCAGCGATGACCCAGGGGCTGGAGACCGAGGGCAGAGGGAGATCGCCTGCTGTGGAGGCCCGCTGTCAACTGCTTCCATTGCGGCCAGCTGGGACATTTGCGTAGGGGTGCCAGAACTACGCTCGATCCCCGACGACGACTCTGACGTCATCCGCCCTGCCGATGGCCGCATCCCAGCCCTGACATCTAGCTGATAGTGCCGCTGAGCGGCAGGAGTTAGCCGAAAAAGGGTGGCCTAGCTCAAACACACAGTGGAGGAAGTTGGTGCACCAGATGATTGCGGCCGCGGCTGGTTCCTCGTCGGTGATGGGTTCCATCCAGGGTATCGAAGATCGTGTCCTAGTGGACACAGGTGCTTCCGCCACGATTATCTCGGGTTATGATTTTTTATTTGTTGCCGTTGGTGAATGCATGCATCACGGCAAACGGAGGGAGAATGGGGATGGTAGGGCAGATAAAGGCCCACGTTGAGATTTGCGAGATTGCGGTGGGCCGGGCCTGTTTTGATCTTGAGGATGCTAGCGGTGCCCTGCCTCTTGGGTACTAATTTTTTTTAGTAGGATGCCCCTCAAGATCCTGATTGATCAAGGCTGCGTGGAGATGCCATCGGGCCATCGACTGTGTTTTTTGCAGTCTCCATATAAATGTACAATGGCGGGTGTCAGAGTCCAGGCCCTTGCCAGGGACTCGGTGCAAACCCCGCCGGACTCGCAAA